AATAAAATATTAATCTATAGTATACCCCGTGCATCGCACGGGTATCAACACTAGTAATTATAATGAAGTATATTTGTAAAAACATTTTCCAATCAATGTTCTATGATATATTATTATAAATAAATATAAAGTGAAAAGTATAATGAGAATCAAAATACATTCTCATCAATGACTTCATTACATCTCTAGTGTCAGTGTGCCGCAAAGTGAAAAGTATAATGAGAATCAAAATACATTCTCATCAATGACTTCATTACATCTCTAGTGTCAGTGTGCCGCACAAGGCTTCAAGTGCCATCATCTCCTCTTTTACATAGGCACCGTCGTCCCTAATCACGCTCCATAGAGTCTTGACCTTCAGTTTGACTTTCATCAAAAGCGCTTAGTCGAAGTAATTGGTCTTGGTGAGAGTGAGGTAGCTACTCTCGCCGCTCACTTCACGGACCACTCGCTGGAGCACAACAGTAGAAACCTGTGGAGAGACGACAAGCGGTTGCTGGCGAGATCATGGTCAAGATACAAGAAAAAACTCACGCGAAGACAAGAGAACACGACCTTGTTTAGTGTTATTGAATTCACAATCTTTCTTGTGTTATTCTATTATTAAATAAAAGATTACAAAGAACAAAATTGAAGCCTACGCAACAAGATTAAAAGAATAAATAATCATGTCATTATGATTGACAATTAACACAACTAATCTAGGAAAACAATTAAGGAAGGTGATTAAACTAATTAGGTGCATAGGGATTATAATTTGCGAACTTATATAAATGCTTAGTTAGATGTGGTGAGAAGACAAGCCTCAACCTAGATTCGAGCACCCTAAGCCTTCAGTCAGGAGAGAAACAGACGAGGGAGCGAAGCCTATGAGCTTTAGAGAGAGATGAGAAGATTTTTGGGGAGAAACAAAAATGTTGTAAATAGTAAGTGAAATTGTTGTTCTTTCAACAACACTATATTGCTATCGACAAAAATTAGTAGATGAGCGATTTATATATGCAAACCGTTTACGTACTAACAAAATTATTTTTTGATTATTGCTAATAAAAAATAATGATTATTATACATAATTATGGATTAACTAGTTCTTAACATACAATTTTTGATTGAAAATTCATCCTCAAAGTATCACACTTTTATTGTTTAAAAAAAAGGAAAAAAAAAAACATCATTTATGTGATCCGTCGCAGTTTTCAGATTGCAAAAGAACATTCAACTATTATGACAATCTCAATTGAAAAGGGTAAAGTAATAAAATAATTTAATTATCATAACAAAGTGAGTATAGAACAATATTAGGGCTGGTTACGGTGTTGTGCAAGCACCATTCCGATAATTTAATCTCAACCATTATATCTTGTAAAATTAATAAGGACTTTTAGACGTGGTAAATGCCTACCAAATCAAAGTGATGTGGCAAGTGCTCCAGGTAGAGAGGTCCTTCTCAAATCAGTTATTGGGGCCTTACCTACCTTTGCAATGGCCTGCTTCCTGCTGCCTAAAGGAATCAACCAAAAGTTGGCACAACATTTTGCTAAATTCTGGTGGAATCAGGGAGATACAACAAAGAAAACCTTGCACTGGAAAGCATGGAATAAGATCACTCTCCCCAAGGAGAAAGGAGGACTAGGGTTCACTGATCTTCACTTGTTTAATAAAGCCATGATAGCCAGACAACTTTGGAGGATCCTGTTACAGCCTCAACTTCTTTCCAGCAGGCTCCTCAAAGCTAGATACTTCCCCAAAGGGAATCTCTTCTCAGCAACCAAAAAGCATAACAGCTCCTGGCTCTGGAGCAATTGGCTTAAGGTTAGGAAAGATTTCCTCAAGGGAGTAAAATTCAAAATCAACAATGGGAAGAAGACTCTTCTGTGGGAATACCCTTGGGTGCCTAACATCCCTAGCTCTATACCTCAAGGTAAAAATCCAGGAAACAGAGAGATCACCCATGTATGCCAGCTGATGGAAAGTAATGGGAGAAGTTGGAATAGAAGCCTCATTTCTGAGCTTTTCACAAACTAAGAGAAGGCTGATATTCTGAGTATCAAAGATCTAGACCCCCATAAAGAAGATCAACTCATTTGGGAAGGAAAAATAGACAATTTTCAGTTGCCTCATCATACTCTGCCCTGATTGAAGAAAAATGGAACAAGATCGACTTGCCTGAAACAAGCTTACACCAGCAGGCAACCAAACAGGCCAGGAAGAAGCTCTGGAATCTGCAAATTAAAGGAAAGATTAAGCATTTCTTATGGAGAGGGATTAACAATACAATACATGTCTGCTGCAATCTCATGAGAAGAGGCTTAGAGATAGACCCTATCTGCCCAATCTGTGGTGAATCCCCCGAGACACGAGAACACCCGTTCTTTCACTGTGAGAGAGCTGCTAAAATTTGGAAGTTGGCTCTTATCTCTTGGGAAGGGCTGCAGATGGACAATATCTGCTTTAAATCTTGGTGGAATAAAATTTGTTCATTGCCTGCTGGTACAACTTCAAGCAAAAGACTCCAGATCACAGCCTATGTCCTAATGTCCTATGGGAAATCTGGAAATCAAGAAACCATTGGGTGTTCAATCATTCTCTGAGGCCTGAAATTTCTGTTGTCAATGTTGCTGTCCAATCTTGGTTAGAATTTGCTAGTTTGTAGCTTTTTTCTTGCTTTGTGTTGTTTCTCTGTTTCTGTTAGTAAGTGGCAGATTGCTAGGCTCTCTGGAGCAGTGACATGATGTCTTTTGTTACTTTTTTTTATATAAATATTGGAGGTGGGATTAACAGCAAGCTATAGGGTCTATGCCTTGCCATTGCTATAGTCTTGCAACATAATCCTACTGTGTTTTGAGTTTTGAGATAAGGCCCCTGCTTGGGAGTCCTTCTGATGTATATTTGTAAGGCTTGCTAGCCATAAACGATTGTAATTATTCTATTGAGTTATAAAATCTGTCGTTTCGAAAAAAAAAAAGAAGAAAAAAGAAAAAAAAAGGAAAACTTCAAGAACAAATTAAAACTACCACTTTTGATGCATACATTAAATAAGAGCTAACACGTTGCTTCAGGAGTGTTCTATACAGTGATGATGTACAACTCCCTATGCAAGAGGTACCATCACATTACCCAATTTCCACCGTCTCCTAGAATCATCTATTTCTCTCTTACATCTCTCTACAAAATATTAAATACAAGCTAACTAAACTTCTCGCAAGCATAAACATAAACTAAATCTCTCTCAAGTTCAAGTTCATTAACTCAGAACCTCGAAACACATGGCTTTCAGAGCTGCTGTATGTCGATAATTTTTTCTTACTTTCCATTTTAATGGCGGGCAGTTGATGAATAATGTGTCTATACATACTGAACATTTTCTCCATATTTTGCAGGCTTACTGGAAAACTATGGCTAAAAGGTTACGTGGAAGCTCGAATTTTCCAATTTCTCGTGAGCTGAAACCATTTTCCACCATCGCCCATCCTTTTCTTCACGGACGAATTAAATCCAAGTAGTATAGCTTTTCAAATAAGCCCGTTTGAAATTTTTATTTCAGCTAACACTAGCTTATCAATTAATTTTATCGAATATTATTATATAAGCTAGCTTTTCAGCTATGAGTTATAAGTTCGAAACTTACTGATAAGTATCTGCTAGTTTTACCAAACAGTACTAGTGTTTTCAGGTTGCCAAGTAAAGGCGATTTTGTTCCGGTGAGCGTTGCGTTGGGGATGGTAACAGTGTCCATGTCATTCGGGGTTTACACGGCCCTGCACCAATTGGGCCGGGCCCCGAACGTGTTTGTGAAGAAATCTAGGCGGGAAACAATCCCGGAGGTAGTGGAACCCGATCGCACGGCTGAGGAGGCCGAGAAATTTGTGAAGCAGTCTTTTTTCAGAAAGGTGGCCCACGTCAAGGACTCGAGTCGCCAGGATGTCGTGCCCAACCCAATTCGCGGCAACATTTTCACAAGGTACGTACACAACAACACAAGATGCAATGCAATGTATGGCTTGCAACAAGCGAAAAAACTTTTGTTGTCAACTAAAATTTGTCTACTCGACCCAAGAGCGCTTGGATGAGATGGCTTGGGTCTCTTCCAGCTTAACCAGTGGTCTCGTGTTCGATCCCTGGGAATGCAGCAGTGTTAAAACTCTTGAGGGAGAGCTTTGCCGTCCTTGTGGTCCTACCCGGCTCGATTCCGGATTAGTCGGTTCCCCTGTGGATCCGAAAACCGGAAGGTCCCTGTACCAAAAAAAAAAAAAAAATTGTCTACTCGTGTTTTTAATATATATCAAATGGTTTTCCTTATAAAATTAATTATAATTATGAAATTTATTAATATAATAGGAGGATATACACGATTTGATAAAATTAATGGCATACGATAATATGAAATTGACATTTAATAATATAGTAGAAGTTTATATGGCACATTGGATGTTATTGTCTGTTTATGTGGTTGCAGGCCTTTACACGTTGAGACATTGAAAGACATTGGGGTAGATCCTAAGGCCATCTAATTTGGAGAGAATTGAAATTGTTGTAAATATTAATTTATGGACATTACCTAGATATAGAATTTGTAGGTATGGGCCAGGAGTCCATTAGGTCTTTAGTCATGTACATTGTATTCCCTTATATATAGGGCTCAAGTGAATGAATAAGATGAGGGTTTTGACGGCGTATCTCTTCTCTCTTTTTCTCTTTTACTACTTTCTCTCTTTGTCTATCTTGTCTATCTCACATATTGACAATGTATATTACAACAAAAATGTCTTATTATTATGTGAATTAATCAGTGGAGGCCTTGTTAGCTTTCTCTATATAGTCGTTACATATTATTTAGTAATTTGGAGTTCATGTATATAGCTGATGTTGACATAAGTACGTACGTTTCACGTGTGTATGTAACTTCTAGGGTGTAATATTGTGTGAATACTCTGTCCTTTTTTAAATAATATTTTACCTCTTACTTCTCTAAAAACAAACTTTAATTTGTTGAACAATTGGATCAATTTATTTTTGTTAGGCTGGTAACGGTGTGGTAATCGAACATAAATGCGATTTACCGAACCAAACAAAATCTTTGGCGTTAGACAATGTTAAAACTGGTACCGCTCCGAAATTGAGTTGTTGAACATCGGGATTGAATTGTTTTATCATAACTGCAGCAACCGAAAAATCAATTTGGTATGAGTAATTTCGGTAATATAAAAAATTAAGAGCGGAAAAAATAGTTGCAAAATTATGAAAGAAGGAATGATCGAGAAAAAAAAAAACAGCGAATAAATGAGAAAATTTACTTTGTATATAGTTTATGAGAGTAATGATTCCCTATCTATTGTGGGCACATGTTAATATGCTCACCGCTTATGTGGCATGCACACATTGGTGATATTAATATGTTAAAAAAATACATTACCAATGTGTGCATACCACATAAGTGGTGAGCATATTAATATGTGCCCACCGTGGGTAGGAGAGCATTAGTATAGTTGAGTTTATGAATGTACTGAACTTAAATGGAGACTTTCATGTTTCAAGATCTTATGTGGGAGTTTTCATGCTTTATGATTTGCTTGGATGAATTTTGATTAATTCTCAATCCAAAGATAATTAGATTTCATATAGCTATAAATATATTAAATATTGATGATTATTTTTTAATGCAATAATTATGTTACATTTCATATTCTAGATGTTACAAGGAATAATTTTTTTTTTCTCATTATTTATTTTCTTTCTCATATTTCTTTTATAATTATGAAAAAAAAATTACTAAGTTAAATTATAAGTAGATTTAAAAATTAAATATTTTTTTAAAAAATTTTATCATTTTTTATACATAATATATCAAATTAATCAAGTTTTACTGAACTCTAATTTGACACTTATACACTTATATTGTATCTACAAAATGAATAAATATTTATGTTCATCTTCATAAAAAATAAAATTGCCTATTAATATGAATTAAAAAATAAATTATTTAAACTAATTTAACTACAAAATTGTTAATAATATAATTTAAAATAATTATTATAATATAAGATGGTCGTCATTATAAGTGATTCGTGTAATTTTAATTATAAATAGTTTATTCGAAAAAGTAATTCAAAATTAAAATAATTTGTTATTATTTTTTAATTTTAAATATAAATTTTTTATCAAGCTCGAAGATCGCAGTCGGGCTTGGTCACCTCGGACTCCCACCATATTGAAAGAAATATTGAAGTACTGGAGAGCAGCGAGGCCTCCAAAAATGTCAAAAATCCCCATGAACAAGTTCCTCAGTCCCTTTTATATGTCACACGACTCGTGTGACTTAAATGAGATATCACACGAATCATGTTATTCAAATATCGCGGTCTTTCCAGAGTCACACGACTCGTGTGACTTAAGGTCACTTACCATACGAGTCGTGTGAAAATGTCGTAACAAAATTTAATTTTTTTCCCTTAGCCACGACTCGTATGGCTCATGGACACGAGTCGTATGGCCGATTTTGTGCACCTCATTTTCACTTATAAGTATGACGCATGTAAGTATCTCTATCATAGATTAATAACTCAAACAAAACAGTGCAAAATCCAGTGATAAACAACCAAACATACTATTCTATCACTCAAAATGCATTTAAATACGACGCATGTCATCACACAGTTATGTTGTCGTACATAAGAATTTGTGCAATCTATGTATATATATACAAAATAAAATCATATTTATATAATATATCTAGAAATATTGAGTTTCTCTCTCCCCTATCGTCTCCTCCAAATTTCAAAAATAAAACCCTAGCATTCTTCGTCGTCTCCCTTCACCAACGGAGCCTTCGGGCCCCTAGACGGTTGTCGGTTCCTTGCTTACGACGCGACTGCGATTTGATGCCAGGGCCATCTTCCCAAGCGATTGGAGTCGGTCGGCGTTCTCGGGTGGTCCTCGGCTCTTGTGGCTGCCATCTCGGGAAAAAGACCGCCGGTTTCCATGGTGGCGAGACGGAGGACGACTGTGGTGTTGAGTCGTGGGCGGGTTGTGGCTTCTTTTGCCGCGTAGGTGGACGGGGCGGAGGTCAGTGGTTGCCTCCCCTTGTTCTTCTCTCCCCTGGTGTTAGAGATGGAGGATCTGCTGTCGCGTCGGTCCTGGCTATGGCGTTGGCTGCGAACGGGGTGGTGGTGTATGGTGTAGGGTGGGGCTGGTCGATTGATCTTCGGCAGAGGGGTTGTGGTCGGCCGCCAGGGAGTGGGCTGAGGTCGTGGGTTTTGCTAGTTAGGCCGGTGTTGCAGTTTCTGGAGTTGAAATTGGGTCGTGGTTCGTTCTATTCGGTGGTCGATCGTGATGTTACCGTTGATGCTCGTCTGATGTGTTTGTTCGGTTGGGGGAAGGGACATTTTTTTTGTATGTGTATTTTGGTTTGTGTGCTTGTGATTTTTGTGTTCTTTGTGTTTTCCTATTTTTCGATTGTGTTATTATCCCTTTGGGACCTAGATTCGCCTTTTGGGAGTTGGTGTTATTATCCCAGTTGGGATCTAAATTCTCCTGTTGGGAGTTAGATTTATTATCGTGAGTGCGTTGTGGTGTCTAGGCTTCCTCGGGATGTCCTCTCACTAGATTCGACATTTGGGTGTCTCCTAGTTGTAATTATGTGTGATATATATAAAATTCCTATCGATTCGAAAAAAAATGCAATATAATAATGATTCATCATGATTTAATAAACCTATATGCTATTACATAATTTATTTTTAATTTAACATTTCAAAATGGAAGTATGATTTTCTAATACTCGACCTGACATGGGCGGACCGACACTTAGTCTGTTGGGGTATTACAACAAGCGCAGCGGACAAAAATACCCCTCCAACAAATATGGCGAACACTACTCCAAAATAAGCCAACACAAATAAAAGATGAGAAGTAAAAAGAACACAAAAATTGATAACGGAGTTCGGCGAAAATAGCCTACGTCTTCGGGCACCGCCAACTGCAACGCTAAATTTAATAAACTCACCAACAAAATACAACTAGGGTTAAATAACCCACAAAATAGGTTCCTTAATTAAGGATTTCATTCTCAATAGAAGATAATAGAATAAGGTGCAATTGTAGCCCAAAGGCAAGGGACCTATTTATACTAAAAACATCCTATACATCTTTGGTACACATTCGATGTGGGACAAACTTAATCAAAATCTAACAATTCTCCACCTTGACTAATTTTTGCTCCCACTTCCGACTCAACTGCTAGTGGTGCCTCCAAATGCACCTCTCGGCGCCAACTCAAATATGCAGAATGTTGGTCAAGTCTAAACAATGTTCAAACTTGACTGCTGCCACTACCTTGGTCATCATATCTGCAGGATTCTCCATTGTCTTGATCTTCTTCAACACAACAGTTCCATCTTCTAGAATCTCCCGCACAAAGTGATAGCGAACATCAATGCTTCGTTCTTGCATGAAATACTTGATTTTTCGCTAAGTGAATAACGCTCTGACTGTCACAATGCACTAAGACGTGCTTTTGACCAACTCCCAAGTCTTCAAGCAAACTTTGAAGCCAAATAGTCTCCTTCACAGCTTCAGTAACCGCCATATATTCTGCCTCTATTGTAGACAACAATTGTTGACTGTAAGGTAGACTTCCAATTGACTGGAGCTTTTGCAAAAGTGAACAAATATCCAGTCATTGATCTTCGCTTATCCAAATCACCCGCGTAGTCAGAATCACAATATCCAACTACACATTGACGAAATTCATTATGCTCATAAACTAATCCAACGTCTACAGTACTATGAATGTACCGTAAAATCCATTTCACAGCTTGCCAATGACCTTTACCAGGGTCATGCATATACCTGTTAACAACACCAACTGCTTGTGAAATGTCGGGCCTTGTACACACCATCACATACATCAAACTGCCAACTGCATTTGCATATGGGACTCTAGCCATGTACTCTCGTTCTTCATCACAATTTGGCGATAACTGGGCACTTAACTTCAAATGAGGGGCAAGTGGTGTACTTACTGGCTTCGACTCATCTATTATGCCGAAACGCTATAGTACCTTATTCAGATATTGCTTCTGAGTCAAACAAAGCTTGCCTCTCATTCTGTCCCTACTTATTCTCCATCCTGAGTATCTTCTTAGCTTCGCCCAAGTCTTTCATCTCAAACTCTTGATTCAACTGAGCCTTCAATTAATTAATCTCCACTTGGCTCTTTGATGCAACCAACATGTCATCCACATACAAGAGTAAGTAAATGAAATATCCATCTTGCAGCTTGCGTAAATACACACATTGATCATGTCTGCTTCGCGTGTACTTCTGCCCAATCATAAACATATCAAACCATTTGTACCACTGCCTCGGAGATTGCTTCAGTCCGTACAACGATTTGTTCAACTTACAGACTCAATTCTCTTTTCCAAGAATTTTGAATCCTTCTGGCTGAGTCATGTAGATTTCCTCATCCAAGTCTCTGTGTAAGAACGTCGTACGTCAAGTTGAGCTAGCT